CCCCCCCGTCACCTCTTTACACTCCGCCAATGACCAATGATTAGCTATTGCTCGCTGTGTTCATCTTAACTAATATACTTTCAATGTGTTTCCAATCATTTCAGTTTGAGAAGCCGCCACCGAAAATTCCTTTCAAGGCCATTCTTTTGGCAGCTGCTCTGTTTGTTGCTGGCAGTATTTTAATCATCATTGGATCTCTTTTGCTGACTGGATACATAAATGCAAAGGTATGGACTTCAAACAATGTCTTTATGTACCTCCTTTTTATTTCCTTTACTGGATTTCTTTCTTTTGATATTTGCAGGGGGCTAACCTACGACAGGTAAGTGTATATGAGCAGAAATAGAAATGAAGAGGTGGCTCTATCCATTGACAAAACTTGCATAGAACAAGTCATAACAATGTAAAGAAAACTCTGAGACTGAACAAAAGCTCTGATTCTAAGCATTGGCTCTCTTTTGCACAATGTGTGTAAGAGTGTATGCAGGACTACTCACCTTGCTTTTGTTTTATCAGTCACAAACCATGAGCTTCTCATATATAAAACAGGCCATAATGGTGTAAATAACTTGAAAGTACTGAGACTAAACAAGCATTCTGTTTCTATACTTTGGTTTTGACTGTCTTGTATAATGTGTATAAGAAAGACAACGCACCTCACTTTGTTGTCTTGACACAATCACATGTGATTCATGCACATAGCGGCCTAAAAATAGACATGATGGCATCGGCAAGTGAACATAGAAAAGTGGGATATACCTCTCTTCGTTCAAAACTTTGTAGAGGGCAAGATAGGAATGAAACAAAGCACAGGTTTTTTAGGGTGCCCCAGGTATATCAACAGTGCTTACAGTAGTGGATTATAAGGGCATACCACATGCGTCCACAGTGAATGCAAGGGGTTATAATAAATCGAAAAAGGAGCCAACATCTAATAGAAATCGCCCTTGTCGTTATGTCAATATGTAACCTGTCTGTCATATGTGAGGCATCGTGGTGTGATCAGGTGCTCGTCAAAATTATGAAATCCGAGAAATCAGCATTTTTCGCCCAGTTTGGAAATTTTTTTTGTAATTTTTGTTTTTTGCGTCAATACCTTGTATGTCCATTCAAAAACACTTTTATGTGTGGATTTTATGGAAATTGTTGATTGAAGTAAAAAAAATGTAAATTGGCCGTTTCCAAGAACTCTAATGCTGTGGAAGTCACCAAACTTTGGCGGCCCTTTTCTCTCTAATTTTACTTCTGAAACCAGGCGACCCCACCTCCTTCAATTGCAAATGTCTCGACTTCTATTCAGGATGAATATATATTTTAAAAATCGAAAGCAAGGCAAATGATACCTATAACTCCATATGCCCAAAATTTGACAAGTGCCCGATTCCACTGCATCGTGACACATATGTGGTGAGCATGGTGCTTCCAGAAGTGGAGTTTCACTTTAAGATGTGTTTAAGAATTGATATAAATGTTTTAGTGCAAGTGTTGTATCTTGTTATCATATGAACTTGAAAAAGTTAGACTGCACTAAAGAGTTTTTAAGCTGAGAATTACTCTTTATATTGTTTAAAGTTCTAATTTTTCTGTGATTTCTTTACCTTTCAGTATTCTGACAGGACATGGCCCCTTCTTCTTTTGGGAGGACTCATGTTTGTTCCAGGAGTCTACCATGTTCGCATCGCATACTATGCTTACAAAGGGTATGATGGCTTCTCATACGAAGACATCCCTGAATTTGAGTAGCAGCTGATTCATTCCACAAACACGGGTGTCCCATTGCTGAATTGCCTTAAATACAAATGCAATACACTAGCCTTAATGTACAGTCTAGTACTGGACTTACTTCTGATTGAAATCACAATAATGGAAACAATTGTATTGTGGTGATTGGCATAATTATGCACTGTTCATACCTTAATATAAACTATGATTGTCATATCCTTTCTTAATATATTGTGCTTTAGGAAGTTGTCCTGAAGTCAAAAGTATGTTTTCAATTTCCTAATGTTAAGACATTGGTAGAAATAATAGAATGCACAGGAGACAGGTTTGGAACCTTTTAGAAGAATCTCATGATTCTATTTTCATTTGTTGTGTATTCCTGTTTTACTGTACACAAATACAGGCTAATTACATCTTAAGAGGTAACCTCAGAATTGTTGGGATTTAATGGAGTATGTTTTCAGTTCTTTTTCTCTGTAGTGTTTCTAGACTCGATATTCTGTGTCGAGAATTACTCATATATATGCATTCATGTATATCAGTTTTTCATCCATTCCATTTGATTTTTGGTTTTATATTTAATTACTTGCAGTATTTGTAGCAAAAAGTCAAGTCTAGTACCATAGAAATTTGAATGAACTCTCGATTTTTCAAACTTCTTTTCCTGGAACCTAGCATGATCTTTGTTACCCTTAGATTCATGTGAAATTGCTGAGTTTTCATTTGAAATTCTATTAATAGGTTCATGGCATTGAAAGAGTGGTTAAATTTTTTACTTTTAGTGATTATGAATTATTTTCATTTCTTGCGAATGATTTAGGGCCTATTCTGTAAGTGTAAGGGTTAAAAAAAAAGCATTGATCCAGTGGTTTTTTTTGTTTGTTTTTTTACTGTATTGAGAATCAGCTCTCATTTAGCTCAAATGTATTTGTTGTATAATGCTTGAAGTACCAGTTCTTTTTTTTTTTCACACACATTGGTTTTGAAATTTGGATGTACCTGACGTCTTTGATATAGATGCTGTGAATACAGGGACACTTTTGAATAACTAAATACCTGGATTCACATTACTATTTGAAAGTCACTTCACTTTATATTTGAACAAATCATTCACACTGCTTGCAATATAAATGAAATATCGTCTCTCATTCACCAGGTCCTAGAACAAAGTCATAAGTTTAACTCTGTATTGCATGAATAATTATTTTTATTCATTCCAAGTACCATACAAATCATTTGACAAGCCATACATACATAAAAATAAAGACAAAGGTATATGCTAATTTTTTTCTGGTATGCTGATAAAGCATCTGAATGAAAGTCTTGGGCATGGAAAGAATATGAAAAAAGATGGTAATATCATGTAATTTTTTTCTTTTTTCTTAGTCCTAGTCAGATTATGTCATATTCCATCTGCATCCATCTATGGTAGATGGTGTCCACACTATTTGTGTGACCCTAATTTTTAAAATTCTGTTCTTCGATTGTTCCTCAATGTATTAATTACTTGTGCTATTAAATATTTGGGCATGGAAAGTTAAATATTTTGATACTGGTGCAGTATTTTAATTAAATGTTAAGTCTTGATTAGTTTTTTGTTAAGATTGATTGAATGCACAATCCAGGAAATCTGATCTCTTTTCATTGCTTTGTTATGAACATTCTTAGTGTGTCTTCTTGCACATTTTAAAACTTTCTGTTTTCTGTCTCATGTTTTGAAGGAGACATTTCTTTTATACTTTTCTAAGAGGAGGTCCAGATCAAACAAGTATGTGAATTCATGTTTGAAAATAATAATTTCTCTTCTTTAAATAGGAATATGTTTTTTTCATATACAGAAATCTTCATGGGGTCCCATAAATAAGGGGTTTGCTTATTACTTACTTTAAATGATATTCATGTTTAATTGTATACTGTGAGAGTTAGATCATCTTTTGTGTTGTCTTTGATTTAGATACTTGAAATCCAGTTTATTCATGTTTATTTATTATTATTTTTAAAAATTTCATATCTCGCTGAATCAGGAAAGCCGGATATGTTTGGAATGTTTGGGTAACAAAACAAGTATACAAGGCAGTTTAACTTTTCAGTTTTAGAGGTCCTGTACTTTTCAAAAGTGCTGAAATTTTGCTTGTGAAATACACAGTTTTTTGTTTTCTTTGTTTTCTTAGTGTTCTTGAGTTTAAGATGGTGCGAAACTTTTTTGTTGTTGCTTCAATGTACTTTGGGAATTGCATTTTGTTTGTGCCACTTGCTGTCTGCTTATCTTTGAACTTACGACCCATACGTTTTGTGATGTTTTCAAGATATGATTTTCAAAGAATCTCTGTATCTAAAGTAAAAGGCAGTGGTGATATTTTTATAAAAACTAGTGTCTCCATTTCGCACTGGCTTTTAATGTTTAGATTTACTTCTGTCTCTTGGGAAACTTTTCTTTGTCAGATTTATGCTCCCTTGTTACTTGCAATTTCTTAGTTTTGTTGGGAAGGAAAAGGAGCAAGGTGGTGGTGGTATAGATACCTGTTATTGGTTTCACTTTGTCTATTGTTATTAGTCTCTCTTTCAAAATTAAGACCTTATTGTGTCTGAGAGCTACAATGTAAGGATGCCTTCTCCAGTGTGGTTGTTGAGTTTTATTTTTATACTGGGGTTGTACTGCTGATTGTTTTCATGAATATACTGTTCGAGCGACTGAATTTCTCAGGTGTGCTAAATTTATTGTAGAATTAGTAGAGGATACTCAAACTTGCACTGTTTTACTTTCTCCATGTTTAACAAATTTCTTAGTTCAGTATCTTAACTTGTACAATGTGCATTAGAATTAGATGATGCTCAACTAAACTAAAATAATAAGATTTGATTTTAGCGTCTCTTAGTATACATAGCATTTCCATGGTGAATTCTAAATTATATTATACATGTACATTGCATATTTTGTAAAAGTAAAGCATAGTTGTCTATAAGTGTAAAAGTAAAGCATAGTTGTCTATAAGTGATTAGTGAATGAGCCTTGGAATCATCACTTATTTCATTGTTTGAAATTGTATAGATTTATAAAGATAATCTGACTAGGTTTCTTTGCACTCTTTCAAAGTCCTTAGCTAAACGTTCTCTTGAAGTGTTGTCTTGGTACCTTTGAACTGAGAATTTATGTGCTTCTCTTCAACATAACAACACTAACAGGTAGGCCCTACTAGCTCTAGGAAGAGCAATTCCATCAATTCTCTAAGCTTCTAAAATGTGTACTGTGCAGTGATACTTTGTTATTATGTGCCGCACTGTGTCATCATATATTCTTAATCTTTGTACTGAGTCTCAGATTATAGTGTTATTGGTACAAATACTATGCTTAGGGAAGGTCTTGCTTGTTTTTTCATCCATAGATGTTAATGTCAACACTGTTATTTAACCCAGTTTGAACATGGTGAAATACACGTGCATGCTTCTTTTCATTAAATCAGTTTGTCAATTGTTGTAGTTGTAGAACCCGAACAAGCACAGCCTCCCCCCCTCCTTATTAAAAAAAACAAACAAATATGCTTAATTGGACTAAAAACGTAGCAGAATACACGCTTTATAGTCAGAACTTTTGTGTGTATCACTTTGTTAGATAAACTAGGAAATAATTATGCTTTTTAGTGTTTCACGTGGTCCACCCATTGTTCTCTCTGTGTGTCTCTATTTTTCTCACCCAAATTTCTATGTGCAATAAATTGTTTTCAGTGTTTCAATGAAATGTGATGACTATGGTGACGTTTGTTTTTATTTATTGTTTGATGATATCACATTATTACTCTCAGATACCATTCTTCTAACACAACAGATGTCTTAACAATTATGTAGAGCATTTTAAAAAAGACTTGCCCGTGGCATAATCAATCATGAACTTTCACGTTCTCACTGATGTTTGAGTGCGAATGTGGTCAAAATGTTTGTTTCTTTATTTCCAAGCAGATTTTCTCTAGTACACTTATGAAATAGCATACTAACAAAGAGTAGTGTTCAAGAGCACTCAATCATATAACAAAGGAATTTGGCTCGTCAAGACTAAATGGGTTTCATTGTTTTGATACTCTACTGAATATCTACCTATCAACACAATTTTTTGTCCTGGGTGAAAATGGTGTTAAGTCTTGTCATGCTTGTATCGTTTGTCCCCCTCTTTCCAACTCTGATACTACTATGAAGACTCCACGTTTTATCTTTTATCTTCTCTATGCAGACCTATTAAATTGTTTTCTATACATATAATGATAATTTGTGTATGCTTTATATTTTTTTGTGTGGAATGTTATGACCTTGAAAAGAAATAGCTACAAGCATTTGAACACTGCTTGGTACCTTCCCTTCTCTGTATTTTAAGAGTAAAAAAAACTTTCTTTTTAGTGGCTACTGGTCTGGATTACTTGTCGAAGGATAAAGTCTCTGAAGAAATTTTTATCAACTTTTCCAGATTGTGGGGAGCCTGGTCACTTTTGTTGTTCAAACTGTTGTTAATTTTGTGTTTGCATAAAAAAGCTAAGGATTTTTTAAAAAGGTATTTTCTGAATCTTAGGTTTTTGCAGATAAATTTTTTTTTCAAAAATATAATCTTTTCTAGATTTTTTTTTTAGTGGCTGTTTAGAGACAAGAAAGAATTAATTGAGTTAATGTTTCAAGACCTCTCATAATGTAAGATTAGTGTAAGAAACAGTAAACACTTTCAGTGGTTGTCATGACCACTTGCTTTTCCTCTTTCTTTTCCCCTGTCCAATATGCACAGTAGAATTGTAAATGGGCTGATTCAACAATACAATATCATGCTCATAACTGTGCCTGAACTGCAACAGGGAACTGCTGCTTTTTCTTTCTTACTATAGTCATTTTTCCTCTACTTCTTTTGTATGTTTGTCATACTCTTGTCACCCGCTATTTCCCGGGTGCCTTAATAGTCGAAGCAGACTTGGGAGGTGGGCAGAGTAAGCCTGATTCCCTGTAAAGATTTCTCTGTTGACATCCACCGCTTGGCGGTCATATGACCTTATACAGTTGTGAGCGCCGTAGAACCTCTACTAGAACAAAAAAAAACTGTGTTTTCTTTCCGATATTCTCTTCATAATAGTTTCAGTGTTACTTAGAAACAAGATAAACTGATGGTGTTTACAGCTTTTGTAATATTGTGTAAAAGGGGTACAATGCGGAGTCAAAAATGTTTCCAAATTAACACAGTAAGGAACTTTTTAAAAAAATGTCTCTTTAATTTTTGATTGATGAGACACAGAAATGTTTTCTACATTCTTTTGTTTCTTTCTTTTTTATCTGTGACCGGGAATTTATATATTTTGTAGGTTGTGTTCAGTTTTCATTAATGAGACTTAGCCCTAGTTTTCCCAAGCCTCTGCAAATTTGTTTTTACTCAATCTCTGCTCTGTTCTTTCCTAGTAGTTTTATCTTACTGAAGCAAGATAAAGAGTGTATAGTCTCTGTTATACATAATATAGAATACCAATCAGAGCTGTTATTAGTTTAAACAGATATCTCACAAATTGAAAATGTACTGGTACAATGTACATACCTTTTCTTACTCTCTTCTTGCCTTTGTGCCTGTCAATATTTGGATAAATCAAACAGCTTTTGCTCATCTTGTGCAGATCAGATTAATCTTTATTCTGTCAGTTGCTTGGTTTGGTTAAGCTTGTCTGTTGGTATCCCACTTCTCTGTTTCATGTGATTTTAGATCTTTTAAGCAAGAAGGAATGGTGGACTTAAGGAAAGAATATCTAGTAATTATTAATTTTGATTTATTTTATTCGTTTTGACCAATCCTAAAATTTAGCGTTATCAAATTGTCTTTTATTTTTTCATCACTTTTTTTTGCAATGATGATGAGTCACCTGTCTTGTATTTGTGTAGATAAAACATTTATTTTCATTTTATTTTGTCTTGAATGTTATGTCTTTCAAATTGTTATTCAACATAAATTTTATGTCAACATAAATGCCGTAGCACTCTGTCTTCTTTGCAGCTACAATGATTTGTCCTTGTAATCATGTCCAAGTAAATACTGCCTGTATGTTGAAATATTTCATCAAGTTCTCAAAATTTAAACTGAGGAATGAAATTAACTTGTGACACTGCATGAAATCATTCTTCCTACTCAAATTTTAAATAAATCTAGGTTTTTTGGGGGGTAAAAAAAAATGTATTACTTTGGTCTTTGAGAGCTTATTGACCTACGTATGTACTTATATTTTGTACACAGTAAATAAGTCCAATTCAGAATAAAATGAAATAAAAAATACAGGTTTTAGGTACACTAGAACAATATTATTTACCCTACATTGCAAGTGTTTGTAAAAACGTTTCGTGATCAAATCCTGAAAATGCTGTCACTTCATTTCACTCATTCGGGCAGTATTGCATACAGACGTAAGTAATTTTTGGCGGCCTTTGAGGCACGTCTGTATGCAATACTGCCCGCTTAATGTGTTGATTGATGTTGACAGACTTTTGGTGACTGTCATATGTGATTTATGTAAATTGCAAGTAATTCATCGCCATTGGGTGTATACTGTAATAAATATGCTATTTATATGAAATTATATTTTGTTTGGGTTACCCTGGTGATACGTAATTTAAATAAATTTCAAAAGCAGAGAAAAAGCTGTTGATCTTTTCCTTATTTCATTTATTTTGTTTTAGTGTTGTTATTGGGTTTTGTAGTTATGTTTCTATTTTGGAACTTAAGCTGTTATATATTTGTAAATCGCTGTTGTAGAGATGTGGAGCGTATAATATTAAACTATTTAAACATTGTATTTTGGGATCTGTATTGTACTACATGTACTAAGAAAAACAACAGGTGAGTATGGAGTGCTGTTCCCTGGTTTCCACAAAGAACAAGAATACACCAGGGTTGAGACTAGGAGGTATAGTACATGTAGATATCTATCTAAATTTGAAGTGTTCTGGGTCTTGCATCACGAAGTATACATGTTATTTACTACTAACTCTTTCTGTCTCAATTTGGTAATACGCTTTCTGAACATGCTTAGGATAAGCACTGGGTTGACCTGTTGGTGAGCCATGGGTTTTTTTTAAATGTTGGTCTTTTTATGGCCCCATCAATGCAATTTAGATCTCTTAGAAGGAAGGCTGAGGACCCCGCCTGTCAGGGCCAACCCAGGCTGAGAGTAGTGAGAGGGATATATAATTATGATAACACCCCGACAGAAAGACTGAGATACTCATATATAAAACTCCCCTTTCGATAATTAGACTTGGACCCCCTGCGTGTGACAGCGAAGTGCCTGCCCGCTAAACCACATAATATGCCTGTTGTCGTTGGGGTGAAGAATAATCTTTTTGTCTTCCTATTTGCACCCTAAACCTTTAGTAGTGTCTCTGTGGTGCCTGTTGCCGCCATGGTGATATAATGTGTACCTGGCTGTCCCAGTTTTCCGCGGTAGTAGTGAGCAAGGGCTTAGGTCTCTACAAAAAGCCTCCTGGTCGACTAATATTATATTTATTATAAGATTGTTTGCCCACCATTTCTTTTGTCTTTTTCCTTATATTTCGTTTGTGATGAGATTCAAAATGGCGATACCAAAAAAAGTGTTACTGTAGCATATCTTTTATAGCGGCAACGTTCTTATGTATAGCTCTTCTCTGCTTCTGTCAGGGTCAATGTTTCACATGTGTTCAGAAGATATTCGGAGTAGTTGGATTTCGTACTTTACGGTGACCCGATATTATCACTTCTTGTGGTCTGTAGTCTCGCTAGCGATGTCTTTCTGTGCTCTGTATTTGAATGGATTTCAGGACTTTCTATTTTGTTAGCATTGATTGCCCAAATGAATTTATAATACTGCACTGTGTCAAGTTTCTGGCTATGTGCGTGTATCCTCATCAATCTAGGGTAATAAAAGGAAGTTTTGTAAGGAACACAAGAATTGGAAATAGTACAGTTCTGTTTGCTACTTTTTTGTCATTTCCTCTCAAAAGGTCGTCTTTCTGACAACAAATGTGTAGTTTTGGGTAGGTTGGTTTTTTTCACTCTGTAGAGAATCCACATAGGTACCATAAATAGGATGTTGCTATGTAGTGCCTTTAGCTGCAGGATTCTTCTCTGTCACTTATGCTCGCCATCCCGCTCTCTAGAATCCACTACACCGGAACTCATATTGCCCTTGTAACTGGAGCCTGATGTCAGTGCCTTTAACACTTCTTTTTGACCCTTGTTTGACTTTTTTGTGTTGCAAGTGCTATAAAACTCATGCTATCATAATTTGGAATAGAAACGTGTTGTCTGGCAGCCGGGTTTCATCAGGTCCCTCCGAGGGGTCGGGAAGGCAGTGTCCAAAGTTTGAAGTCTGGAATATGTTTTATTTCTCTATGCTCGTGCCTATGAATTTGAAATTCAGATATATATGATATAATATGACCTACAACGATGGTCTGTAACTAATTTAAAAAAAGAAAAGCTTTCTTACTTAAGTTACTGGACGTAGGCGATTTAAACTTACCAACATCTGCGTGATTCAACCGCCCAAGTGACAGTATGGCGGCATCTAGGCGTTTAGTTTGAATCATGTTAATCTACGCCGCTTGACGAGCACCAATGGTCGCATTTTATTTACGGGCGTTTGAGGTATCGACGAAAGCAAATCACAATAGTTTTAAGAGTACTTATAAAGTTAAGAGTAACATTATTTTAGTTATTTGGTTGGGTCTTCTGGGGCAGGACTGTTTTTGGCCTCATGGAGTTGGTAATTAAGACCATTCATCTTAACGTTCAATTTGTATTGAATGTTTTTGTTCAGTGTGTATCAAAGGCAACGAACGTTTGTGACAACGGGGTCGTTTTTGCTTCAGCCAGGTCTGAATGATCAAGAAATTGAGCATCAAAAAAGGAAGGGGGGGGGGGAGTATTGTCTTGCTCTCTTAAAAACGTTCAAGATTATCCATGAGCACATAGACCATGTCATTTTTTCATAGACCTTTCGATTACACTGTGTGTGCTGTCCACTTCCATTTGCGTTTTGTTCTTTTTCAAGGCATTTGATTTCAACAGTTTTGTCCTATCTAGTACAAATGTCGCTGATTGCATTTGACAAGAAAGCGTTCATGTGGTCTGATAAGTACAACCATCACTGTATATATAATGAACGTGGCATATTTATGGTGAGTAGGTTCCTCCAGGTCGTTACTGACACAAGAAGAGAATTCATTGGCAATCAATGATCCTTCTCCGTCATGCCGAACGTGACACTTCACATCTTTGGTTACCTAATTTTAAAGAATAATATAGATTGCTAATTTGGTTCTGTTATGATATAATTAGGCAGATGCGTTTAACGCCGTACTAAAAAATCCGCTTCCAAGTCCGTGCACACTAGACATAATATGGCCCCATCCACTGGGTTTTATGCAAGCTTCTTGTTAGATTCTTTCTCCAATCTTGCATACTTCACATTGATCCTTCCAACATACATGCAACAATAGGTTGCTCTTTTTTACTTTCTAAAGTCGTCTTGGATAATGTGTGACTCTTCACATTTTCTTTGGTACCCCCAATAAGAGCCCCAAAGACTTTGAAAGTGTTAGTCCAGATAGATTTTGCCTGTATTCTGTCTGTAGTAATAGGAAAGCAATGCCGTCAAGTTTGTCAAAGAATTTCTTGTCGTAAATTGCTTGTCTCTTCAGTTTTCTGGTAATATGACAATCGTAGAGCTCCCATCTCCAAGTCATGTAAACTGCCTTTGCAACAGTCATGAATAACCACTGTATGAGGGCAGTTGTATACAAACTCATTGTTTTGCATAGAATGTCACGAGAGATTTGTTTCAAATTAAAGTGTAGAGCTGGAGAGTGGAAGCTGAAAGTTTGTTGAAGAGAGCATTTTCGGGGTGTATATGTTTATGAGTGGCTTTTTATTCGAGTGACAAATTAAGTATCATCTACCTGGCACTGATTGAACTAAGCAATGATTCAAGAATGGTACATGACAGACACAGCAAAGGGCGCCCACTTAAAGTAAATTGGTCGCTTTTAAGGACAAGCGAAGCGGGCTAACCTAGATGTGTGTGTCTGTGTATGTGTGTGTGTGTGTGTGTGTGTGTGTGTGTGTG